GATATAAAAACCAACATGAGTTTGTGTAAGTACCAATTCGAAAGTTGTTTTACGAAACTTATGGATTTCCATACACATATTTCTTCTATTTCATCTTGCCTGGGTAATGAAGCTGGAACCGCATCCAAAAACCAATCGCGAAGAAGCTCTCGGCGGCATCGTACTAAAGATTTGGAACAGGAGGTGGAGTTAATTATGTCACAAGAGGATGATAGTGATATGGAAATGGAAAAGTCGAAAGAAAATGATTTACCGACTACACCCAAATCACACAAGCAGATTGATTATCAGCATCGATCTCCTAGCGTAGGTACGAACGATACACTGGCACAAACGCCTAGGCGGAGCACTCGCAAGAGCATTAAACCGGTTCAAGAATATGAAGATATTGTAAGCCGCAAACGTCAGTTGAGATCTGCCTCTAAGATCGAAGCGGAAAACATACAAGATGCTGATGAAGAGCCACAAGCCAAATGGACGCCAGCTAAAGTGGGTCGTGTTTCACAAAAACGGAGCCGTAAAAGCCGCAAATCGACGAAAAATCAAAATAAGTCAAAAATAATTAGTTCAAGTGAAGCTGAAGATAATGAATATGAAAAGGACAGTCTAAAAACTAACACTTCTGAAGAAAGTCTACAAATTCAGGATTCGGTTGATACGGTAGAATCCGAAGCTGTGGCTGAGAAAAATATGGACATACTTATCAATAAAATTACTGAAAATAAGGCCAAATACACCAACGAAAATATTGGGAGTGAATTAAGCAAAGAGCAACAAGAAGATTGTATCAATTTTAAAGAAAAGGACAGTCTAAAAACTAACACTTCTGAAGAAAGTCTACCAATTCAGGATTCGGTTGATACGGTAGAATCCGAAGCTGTGGCTGAGAAAAATATGGACATACTTATCAATAAAATTACTGAAAATAAGGCCAAATACACCAACGAAAATATTGGGAGTGAATTAAGGAAAGAGCAACAAGAAGATTGTATCAATTTTAAAGAAATTGAAGCAAAGCAAGGCGATGGCGTTGGAACTTATTTAAAAAATGATACTTTCAACACATCTGATTTAGGGATTAATCCATTGCCTGAAGAAATCGAAGAAAATGAGGGACAGCAAACAAATTCAGAGCAAAAAATATTCAATGCTATGAATGAATCATTCACCATAACTCCAGACGCCTTAGAAGTAAATAATGTAGAAGTCCCAGTTGTAATAAATAATGAAGATTCTGGCTATAAATTGGAGGACCAACAAAAAAGTGAGGATTCTTATAACAAAGCATCTGGGGATGTGGAGGTAGATGATTCAGAAATCCCACTGGTTATAATTAAAGATGACACATTGAATAACAGCGATTGCGTGTTGGTAAATAAGGATTTATCGGAACACGTAGATGACGACATGCAGCCATTACGACTTTCCGATGAAGAAAGTTCCACATCCCCACCCCGAAAAGCACCACGTGTAATTCTGACTAATGAGGAGGGGAAAGAGCAAATTTTAAATTCTTCCACTCTGTTTAATGCGGGTGTAACACCGAAGAGATATTCGAAGACCGTGGAACGTAAGCCAACTCCTTTTAGACCTAAGGCTACTGTTCCAAATAACGAAGAAGAAGAAGATTGTGAAGAGGGTGCACACTCAATAACAATAGAAGTTTCTAAAATGGAGCCTAAAGAAATTGTATTGCGTAGCATTCGAAAACGTTCTTTGTCCGTGTGCATTGGTAATACTGAAGCAGAAAATAGGCGCAAAAATGTTACATTTTATAGTCCTGCTAATCAAACGACTATATTGGAAGACTTGGACACACGCATTGTGCAAAGTGTGAAGAAAAATTACGGCGCAAAAACGGGTGGCAACGTAACGTCATGTAAGCAGTTTATTGGTTAAATGGGCATTCCAAGTTACGTTTTTCATACTTATTTATCATTGCAGTTGTAACTCAGCGTCGCAAACGGTCTATGTCCTTTGATGAGGCTTTGATAAATAAATCAAAA